CATATTACGGGAAACATATTGCCGTAATAATCCCACCGCTCGCGTACGAAATAAAAATCTGAATATATCGATCGGCGCTCTTTGTCGGGAGAAATAATTCATCGCGACGGAGGACGATTTTTGCATCGATATATCGACGGTGAATATATATTGATGGTGTGTGTCAATGTTCCTCCCTCCCCCTGTCGTACTTTGTATATTTTTATAATGAAAAAAGAGCCGCCTCCCTCTCCCCCTCCGGCGCATTCGACGGTCGGGTTGCGAGGGGAGAAAAAAATGTGCCGTTTGCGCGCGACCGAACGGCGACGCGTCGAAATGTCAGACATCGACGGCGTCTGAGGGCGTTATTGGCTACCTTCTTCCATTCTTTTTTTCCTTCTCAACGGGAGATTAAATTTACGAATTAATTGAAACGTTCCGAATGAGATTGTTTCGCGCATCTCTCTTTTCCCTCGAGGAAGAAAAATCTCGTATTTCCGGATCGTGCACAAAGACGCTGATAAGATTTTCCTCGTTATCCGACGTAACTTCCTCCATAGCCTTGAAAAAGATATTTGTTCGCCATTAGCGTAGCGTCTACCGTGCATTAGCGATGCTATTATTATCGTGTTTACTTTGCAGATATGCGGAGTAACAACGCGTCCCTTTGTTCCTCGTGGATACGTGGCGCGGGCACGAGAGAGAGAGAGAGCGCTCGTAACTGAGCAAAATGCGTGTTTATTCCTACCCGGTTCAATTATGGTCGTTTCTGAACGTCTGTTTGCTCGAGACTACCCACTTTAGTTAAGGCTTACGCGCATTTCGGAGCGGACGCTGTTCGCTTTGTGAAGAAAGAAAGAAGAAGAAAATAAGACCGAGAAAAGGATTTGAGCGTGCTTGATGATTTTTCCGCGTGATTTTTCAGCGCGAGAACACGAAATCCCGCCGTATCTCGAATATACGGAAATCGCGCCGAAAAGAAACGAGCGGGAACGAGAAGAAGTGTGGGTGAGGGTGGCAGAGGAAGAGAGGAAACACAGGAGACACGCGAGAAAAAGAGACAGAGAGTGAAAGGAGAGCGAGGAGGGGAAAAAATCGAATTAAGTCGACCATACCAGCAGTGCCATGAAAGGAAAACAACAACAACGGCGGCGCGCGCGGCTACAATTTTACGACTCGCGTGCGGGACTGAAGGAACGAAGCGGCGACGTGGGTGGTGCGCCCGTGTCTATGTGTGTGTATACGACGAGAAAGCGAGAAGACGGGAACGCGAATTCCATTCCATTAGTCGGCCGTTAACGATCGAACGTGTTCGCTCGGCCGTGTGCACGCAGGATATATCCTCGGAAGAGGTCTTTCCGTTGGAGATTCTGCGGAATGCACAGAGAGAAAACCCTACTGTCCCCTGCTCCTTCCCTCCCCCTCGTCGCCCCGGCTCCATCCTTTTTCCCCACCCCCCGTCGAGCCTCGTTCTTTCCGCGATTTCTCCTCGGCGATCCGCCGGCGTAAAGGATTTTCGATTACGTTTCGTCGCCGCCGCTTTTGTTCCGCTCTGTTCGCTCTCGAGCCCACTCTCGGCTCTCCCCTTGGTGAAAAACTCACCTACGCCCCGATCCTTTATTTAAGCATCGTGTGTCTCGCGGCGCCCGCGTATTTTCCCGATTTCTCGCGTCGCGCCTCTTCTACCCCTCTTCTCCTCCTCCTCCTCTTCGACCGAGCGCGCGAGATTGCATTCTTCCGAGATGTACTCCTGGCGCAGGTTATCGAATTTGCGGGGAAAAGCTCGGACGGACTTTACGATCGCGGTAGCGCAAACCCGGCGGCGGGCACGAAGGAACGTTAGAACAGTCCTTTAATTTGCGTCAAACGCTTTCGTGCGTATTTCTTAGACGCGTCGGTGGATGCAAAATCCCTCTCCCACCGGCGCGTAGAACCGCCGGAAACGGGAAATCGCCCGGTATTCGTCAACGATCATCGTCATCGAGTAGACGCTCTCCTTATTATTCGCGTCATTCGCGCATAAAACAGGGATCGCACCCGAGCGAGATATCTTCGAATGTAATTTCGCGCCGCGGAAAACGATTCGACAAAAGGATAAAACGCGCCCGCGTTTACCAAGGGGGGAGGGGGCGCCTTCTCCTCTCATATCGCGCCACCAGTCGCGGTTTCTCGACTCCGCCGGAGCCTGGAAATTGAATTTCGGCAGCGCGCGCGGCTTTCTAATTCGAGTTTGAGGTTCTCGCGGAACGCTCGTACGTTCGACCGGATCAGGTCCTAACGGCGGGGGATTTATTCGACTTCGCGACGGAAGAAAGGGACCGGCGGCTGCTGCTGAGGGGGGACATGGGATGGGCGAATGAGGGGGTGCCGCAGGGCGAGAACGAAGGGTCGCGACCACAGACACCAACCGAGAGCGCGAAACTATGGAGACTAACTGACGGCGAGGGATTTATGGACCGACGGAGACTTACGACACCTGTTCGTGCGTATACAGGGTGTCCCGTCCCCGATGGTGAACAGGAGAGAGACCGTGGACCGTGGCTCGGATGAATAACTCGCAGCCCCGGCGAAACGGCGAATTAGCCGAATTTATCGTCGCCCGAGCGCCGGACGGCCCGGGTGTAAGGCGGGAACCCTGCAAATCAGGCCCGACGGGCCCGCTTCATCAGCTATAACCTAGCCTGGCCTGTATTATTCGCTTTGGTACAGCCGGATCCGAGCTTTGACGCGGATCAATTTGTCGAAGGATGGAAAGAACCTGTGATCCCGCCTGTACTGAGAGAAATAATCCAGAGGGACGGCAAATTTTATTGCGCTCTCGTAGCGAATAAATAAATACGCAGGGCGTTTCCCAAGCACCGTCCAATATTTCAGCCGATTTCTATAGTCATTTTATAAAGAATAGTTCGCACGAATATATGTTGATTTCTTCATGAGACGACCTGAAAAGTCAATTCCTGAAATATTGAACGGTGCCCGAGAAACATCCTTGATTTATCCGCCAAGACAGTATCAAATCCGCCGTCCCTCTGAATTTACTTTTCTCCGTGTAGAAACTCACCAGACTTTCATAAGTCTGATTTCACTCGGAGCGGATACAAATTATATATCTGACAGTAAACCAGGCGAGATCGGGCCCTATCGGGGGCCTTGGTTTGTTCCAACTCTTTTGGAAGGGATTTTGCGACGAGGGTTACGTTTTCCAAAAACGTCGAACGGCACGGCCTCCTCTCCGATCGACACGCGGCTCACCTTCGTCGGCACGTCGTCGGTGACAGCGATGCGCGCGCAAAGACATCTGAAATTCGCGTCAGGCGCGGCAGCGGACGACTGCGAACGCCAGCGGCGTCATGCGATAATTCCCAACTTCTCCAATTATCGTTTCATCCTCCACCGCCCCGATCCTCCTTCCCACGAGCTTGTACCACCACCACCACCATCACCACCGTCGGCACTGCCACTATCACCGGTCGGCGGGAAAGGAGGTCGAAGAGAATGCACTCGGAGAATAAGGCTCGGACTTTTAGAGACGACGCCGCTGGCCGCCGAGCGGGAACGCCGCGCGTTCTCGCGGGCGCAAACCACCGGGAGAAATAAGTATTCGCCGTGATCGGAATCGCACGAGCTGCGGAGGGATTCGATCGAATTAAAGTTTCGGCGGTGACGCGCGAATGCGCCCGGGGAGTCGGCGAAGGAAAGAGAGCATCGAGGGAGGTCTCATTAAGGGACGGCGGTGCTGCGCTTGCAGGTGCGATCTCGCGCGCTTTACTCCCGCGACGCGTGCCGCCCGAAATCCCCCGAAATCATTAAGAGAATCCCTGCCCGGCTGGCCCGGGTCGACCCGAAAAAATCGCTCCGAGAACCGTTGGAATCCGCTACTAACGATATATCCAGCATTGAGGGAAAAACTTTTGTTAATTTTGTTCAACAAGATACATATCAGTACTCGCAACAAATCTCCCAGTAATGAGAGCGAATAATTTGTACTTTTAATTTGCTGCTCCAACACTCTTGCATTGGCTTGGTAATGGTTTGTTGAAATACCAAATGATGATAAGTAATTAGCCACGGTAACTTTTCAATCTGTTTCCCTAATAGATCTTCAAATAAGAAAAGAGCTTTTGTTCCGGCAACTATGGGATTATTCTCAGTGCGCGGGGATTTTTCTCGACCGTCCTCAGCTCGCCGTTTTGTATTTCGCTCCGCATTCGAAATGCAATGGTCGAGTTCAATCGTTCTCTCGGTAGTAAGACGGTGGACTGAATTCGCGAGTTGGATATAATTAACACATCGTGGACCGGAGACGTCTGGCAAATTTACGTTTTCAGTTCACGGAGAAAAATAATTTGCCGGCGCGGCAAATTTTCTGCAATCACAAGCAAATCCGTTACTTTGTGGAGCAGCAAAACGATTTGTTAAGAATATTAATTGCCGCTCGCCGGATTATTTCGCTGAATCTACAAATTATTTTGCCGCAAGAACAAATTAGCAGATATAGAAAAACACTATTTTGTTCCGACAGCAAATTAACGTGTCACGTGGACAAATTCAGTAGAATATTTTTCGTCCTGGTAACAAAACTGTTTCTGCCCTAATTACGAATAATTCGCTAAAATTTGATTATACTAACTCAATTTTATCTCTCTCGCAACGAATGTGCGGTAGCAACGATTTCGTTATGACAGCGGAATTATTTTTCTCCGTGTTTTTGAAAGGTCGGTGAAACGGAAACGTTGTTTCATATTTTTAAGATGATGAAACGTAGCGCTTTAATAAATTTTGCTTGGTATCTCTGCGTGTGGGACGACGAATATCATATTAAAAACATTACGAACGCATTCATCAATTGTATGTTTGACATATTCGTTAATATCGGGGTCGTTTGTGCAAAGAATATATGCGACCGGACGTCTTTCGATTCGAGGACATTTCGGGGGCGAAACCTCCGGGAAAAAGTCCCTCTATAATAAAAGAAAGCGAGTGAAATAGAAGCAGGAGGTCGGTAAACACGCAGCACTCACCGATCAGTTTGCCGAACTGCGCCGGGGGCTTCCACTCCGGGTAATGTCGCGGGAACCGCGCTCTCGACCAGTAGGTCCTCAGGGTAACCTTGTAGAGTGCCAGCTTGTCCTGTTTGTCCTGCTTCTCCTGTCGGTCCTGGGCGTACGATCCGCACTGGCCGTGGACGGAGAGGTAACGCGTGGCCAGCAGGAGCAGCAAGAGCACCGACCATCGGTGCCACGTGCCACGAAACATCTGCGGGCACACACACACGCGCATATAGACGGAGGATCCTCTTAGGTAGACACGTGTGGCCGGGAGAAATCATAAAAATCGCGCTCATGCCGGCTGCCATTATTCCGGCTGTCGCACGCGCGTGCGCTATGCGACACGTGCTAATGTGCATGCACCTCGCCTACTCGTTCCGAGGCGCGCGCCGTCATATCCGTCGGTTTCCTCGGCGTCACATGCGCCGTTAACGTTCTAACGAAACTTGTCCCGTGCGATTTTCAACCTTGCACGTACATGCGCGAAGTTGGAAATCGTAGGAAACCGTGTTAACCACTTCCGCCCCGGCACACTTATTCTTTGCTGCTCAGTTTGGCACACCGGGCCGATGAGAACCGGAAAGTTTTCCGATATCGCTTAAGTATCTGGAATTCTGTTCTAATCCCATGTGCAGGTATTACAGTTTTCAATGTATATAGGTAAATAGGTACATATAGGTATGTTGGTAAATATGAAGATATGTATAAGTAAATTTTACGAATGTGTCGCAATCATTTATTTTCAACGGATTCTTTTATCTTCCTAATTGCTCTCGCCGAGTTTGGATATGACGTGATACGATGGAATATAATACGATTTGATACAATAGATTGTGATATGATATGATATATGATATGATATGTCAAGTTGTCAAACTGGCAGATTAGCCGAATAATTAACAGTTATAATGTATACGCGCATTCAGATGCGGTGCGAGCCATTAGAATGACTATTAAGTTTTAGCCTGATATATCCTGAAACGAAATTTTAGTCCATGTTCAAAGATCTTCTATTGTGTTCTTTTGACACTAAAAATAAGGAAGTTATCGCCTTATTTTTTCTACTTGAAGATTTAATATAGAGCTAAAATCCAGATTCTGGAAGACTAGATTCCCTTTGTAGCTTCAAAGGAACACTTATTGTGCTCCTTCGATGCTACTAGTGGGAACTAACTTTCCGTTCTCTTCACTTGAAGATTTAATGTAGAATTAAACATTTCGATTTGGGATGAGTCGAATTCCTAATGATTAAAGGCTTTGCGTGTTGAAACTCGACGTGCGACGGCCGGTGTAACGCCGCTGGCGTGGGAAACGAATGGAGCGGAATTCACGCCGCGGCGTATATCGATGCGGGGTGGCGCGTTCTCGATGAAAAAAAAAAAAAAAATGGACTCGCGCGAAAATCGCGTCGCGTCTCCATCGGATCACGAGCCGGCGCGCACGGTCGTTATAAAAATAACGCCGAGCACGGGGGCCATAAATCACGGTTCGTATCGGTGTCGCGCGCCTTTCCTCATGTAACACGCTTTTCACTGTGCACTCGAAAGAACGGATTTAAAGCGGCGTCGTGGCGCGAATTAAGAGTTACACGTGTGACGTCACCGTTCGCGCACCGGTGAAAGTCTTGCCGCGAGTTAAAATAAAATCCCGGGACGGTTATAATCGCGGGCTCTTCCCCGACGTTAACGATCGTAATCTGAACTTTCGCATCCGCGATACCTAATATCGAGAATGAAAAAGTTGCGGGAGGAAGATAGCGGGGAAACGAGGTTCCCGAGACCGTAGGAGAAGAATCCAGTGATTAAAGGAAAATGCGAAACTTCCCCGAAGTGGCCTGCACGAGAAAACACGTCGGGAGATAAAATTGTAGAAAAAAGGGGGGAAGAACGAAATGAAAAAAGGAACGGAAGACCCACGAACGCGGTCACTTCGGATAGTAATTTTTACCATTATCACTATGGACGATACCGTCGGGAGGAATAAAGTTTATCTCTTCTCGAGGGCCGGACCGTGAAATGGAATAAAGCGAGGGTAACGATTCATCATGTCCCCGCGACCGTCATCTGATACAGCCGTCGATAGGGAGACGCGTCGCGTTTTAGCACATTGGCACAAAGCCATTGCGCGTATTTCGAACAGACGCTCTGCCCGCGAAGAATCGGGGAGTTCGCGCAGACACACGCGGTGTGTACACCCCTTATCGTGCCGCTCGCTGCTTTTCACTGGGAGCTCGCGAAAGTTCATCGGACTGCCGATGATTTCGTTGGCTTAGCAGATGGCTGATTCCACAGGCACGTAATTCGATGATCGTTTACTCCAAACGATGGACATCTGCAGGCACAAATAACAAATCCCAGCCAGAGCTCCGATCTTCCCTTTCGTAATACAGTTGTGGTATTGACAATTGTATAGTAATAATAATCGTGAATCGGGAAGATTTACTCCAATTACGCTGCTGTCGGGAATTTTATTCATATTATTGACTCGACGATATTTCTTTTTCCGTGTACCGTTCACTAAAAATCATGCTTTCAGTCAGTTATTCCCTACTTGGGAGGTGGCGGAAACCGGCGGATAATAATGTCAAATACTTGGAGTGAACGCGGAGCCGTGCACTGTTTCATTATTCTCGAAATTTCTCGGGAAGACGAAATCTCCGCTCGGAGCGAAGTGAAAATTCACTCGAAGCGACCGTGAAAATACCACCAGCGCCGCTCAGAATATCAGAGGGTAAATGTTCAAACTTGAAGCGAGGTCTTAATCCATACGGGTGACATGTGTTTCGGTCGATTAGAGTGAATTTGTCCCGGCGACATTGGGGAGCGTTGCGCGGAGACTCGCTCTTCAATTGTGAATGAAAATTCGACGATTCGGAGGGATTCGGAATTGAAAAATCACCCGGTTCCGAGGGACGTCGGTCTGTCGTCGACGGAATTTCACGTCGAGGAAAATTCCGAGTGCCGTCGAAAGAGAAATGCGACTGAAAATCCGACGAACTTTCGCGAAAACACCTGACGTAATCGTGGAACACCTTCGCGGACTTCAGCTAGGCGCTCTCTCTCATTCTCTCCCTCTTGTTTTCCCGAAACGAATGATCAGAGAGATGAGGGGAACGCGAGCGGCTTTCACTCCGGAGTTAGATGATGCGGGCCGACTAACGACGATGTACGCGTACGTGATCCACGTAGGGAACGCACGATGAGCAAGGCGCGAACAATAATCCAGAACGGCGGTGTAAAGGCGAGCGTGCACGGCTTACGAACTGTATTGTTAAGCAGTTTCGCGGGTGGTAACCCGGTTTTGGCGTGATAAACAAGATTGAGCGGCTCGGCCGCCGAAAGAGAGAGAGGGAAGAGGGGCGCGTCCGTCTCCCCGCGGAAACTGCTGAATAATTCAGGACAAACGAGGGCCCGACGGGGTCCCGGATTGTGATTTTACATGGGCGCAATCAAAAGGATAACGCGATATTACCGCGCAAGATCGGACTGCGTCCTTTCCGCGTGCGAGCGTCGGAAACGTCGTGTTGTCGTGGAAACGTCCCCGTCGAGATTCCCAAGTAGGAAATGCTGGGCGAGAGGTACTCGTCGTTCAGTACCGATTTTTAGCGACCGGTATTAGATATGCCAGTGCCGATTCGATACTGGTGGAATACCAGAATGATAGCGATTGGCCGAGACTCGAAAGGCGGAATGCCCGTAACTGTGCTGATTCCCAGTATTGCGAAAGCGTCAAAAATTACCGAACCCCAAAAAACTGACCGATTTCTCGTAATGATTTCATTATTAAAGGCGCAGGTGGGTATTACGGCCCCCTGTTTATATTTGGTTGATTTAAGAGTACTTTTTTTCTATGTACTAACTGGTACCCCATCTTCAGTACCGGCCACGAGTGCCACACGATCCCCCTAGATTTCTTTCGCGAGCGGAAGGGAGGGACGGGGGCGTTCCGCCGGTGATTTCTCAACGATCGTTTAGATCCGCGAAGAAGGGCGCGCGTGGTCGCCCTTGCCGGCGGCGTTCACGAGCCGCATAAATTTCACGGTACTTCGGGGCTCGGTGATCCCTCGGCCAAAGGTCGGAATCAATCGGCTGTCCTCCCTGCCTGGGTAATTATGCAAACGGCGGCGCGCGCGAGTGCACACAGTCGTATCCGCGGTGCGCGATCATATCGCGCGCGAGCGAGCAGCCGCGGCGGCGTGCTTCGTGTTTACATATGCAGATTCGCGCACGTGAGAGCGAGCGAGCGCGCTCGCATGAACGAGCGAGCGAGTGCGCTTAAAATTCAAATCGCGCTGGAATCGCTTCCGAACGGCCGCCGCCGCCTCGTGTCGCGAATCGCCGAAATTTCACGGCGCGCTGATACTCGACCCGCATTTCCGGCTGGCCACTTCGGCTCCAGAGAAAAATCCCGACTCTTGGAAGCGTTCCAGCCCACCGTCCGAAATTGACGGCCGATCGCGGCTACTTAGCTATTCGGCGAAATATTTCTCGCCGCCGTGGCACACGCGTGTCACACAGAGCCGGGAATTGGAGAGGAAGCGTGTAGAAAAAGTATCAATTTTAAATATTTCAAATATCTCGGTTCTCGAATAGTCAATCCTCTGATCGCGTGAGCAACGTGAGTTAGATAATATTTCAATATATATGCGGTGGTGCAAGTTTCATAGAATTCTTATCCGACTTATTTCACCTTATTTTATCTTATCAACCTCCGTTAAAAAAGAATTACTTTTCATGCAAATTCTGAATCATCGTTACAACTTTCAGGTGTCACTTTTAAACGCAATATAGGTCAATTGGTTACTTTTTCATAATTTTTTCATTGTTTTGCATTATGAGCGTGACACGTCCCTTAAATGTTATGTCCTCGTCGGAAAGGTATCGGACACGAAGTCGCGTTTACACGGGAAAAAAATATTTCACTCGGGGAGATTGTGACGAATGAGTTTCATCGAAGTTACGACGCAGGCCATTAATGCGAGATATAAAAAAGTATTGTTGTAAAAATATTGGCTGTTTGCGACGTTAACTCGCGGGCAGCTTCCGCCCGTGAGCGCAAGTTTAGCCGATAACGGATTTAAGAGACGAGCATCCTGCATAATTTATGAATCGTCTTATATCTCGCTGCTGGTCTTGCCGACGAGAGAAGAAAAGAGAGAGAGAGAGAGAGAGCGGAGGAGAGGCTAAAATGTAAACGGACAGTTAATGAAAAGCATACGGAAAATATTTATATCCTCTGAGCGAAACTTCGCCAACTTGGAATCCACCGTCGAACGTTGCTCCCTCTCTCTCTCTGTCTTTTCCGTCAGTGCAACGGGAGCGCGCCGAGAACTTTCGATGTTTCCGATTCGGTATTGATCACGACGGTCCGCGATTGCAAGGGGAAACCGAAGCTGAAAGGCGGGTGCGATTCGCTCGGCGTTATCCCGCGTCGTCGCGCGAATAACCGGCTTTGCTATTCCGTCGCAATTACACTTGTTTCCCGACGCGCTTTTAACGAAAGCAAAAGGCAAGAGGCAAGAAAAAAAAAAGTTTCGAGGAAGCGCGCGTGCACGAGTCGTAATTCTGCTTCCCTCGGAAAACGGCGCATTCAATTCTTCGCCGATCGACCGCAATTTTCCCGACGTTCCTTTATCTTGCGCGGGAACAAAAAGGGGAGTAAAGCGCGCGCGACGCTTCGACAGCCGGCTGGATTCAGCGTGTTTTTCGCGGCGCGATGCGCGTCAAACGGAAACGCGATCGCGAGCGAACGAGTCGCTTTGCTCGCCGTGGCTGGAACGCTCGTCGCTTGTTCGCGATTTCGCGACGAGCGGATTTCTCAGGAGGCGTGTCCTCAATTCCGTGGCTCGCGTCGTCAGTCCGCGCGCGCGTTGCGTAAAAATCCATAATTATAGTCTTGCTCCGCCAGAAAGAGAGAGAGAGAGAGAGAGAAAGAAGAACTGTTCTCAGCCGCGTCTCGCTTCGCTTCGCGCGAAGCTCTCCCCGAAGCTACCTTCCGAGGAACGTTCTTGCGGGGATGCGTTATTCAACCGCCGACGGTGGTGCGTGCGGTGAGCCTCCCCCTCCCCCCCACGGCTGCCGCCGACTAACTGAAAACCTTTTTGCTTGACATTTCATTATGTTTCATTACCGGGCCGGCGAAGTGCGGACCAACTCGCGTGACGGGCGCGAGTTATGGTTCCGCGAGCGAGCGAATCCGGGGACCACCGTCGCGTACTCGAGGGCTTGTTCGTTTTTCAACCCGGTAACCTTATTCCACTGTCTCCGGAAAGTAGAACCGACGACGACGACGCGCGGTGTACAAACGACCGCGGTCGACCAGCTTTTCGAACCCGGGGCCTCCTTGTCGGTTCTCGCGACGGGCTGATTAATTTAATGGCTGCGAGGGCTGATGCCTTCTTTCCTCTCTCGATCAGTCTCTATTTCTTTCTCTCTCTCTCTCTCTCTCTCTCTTTCTCTTTCTCTCTCTCTCTCCGTTTCCCTATCTTTAGCGGGGTTTGTTAATGCGATTTTCCGCCGGTGTCTTCGAACTTCCGCGCGCGCTTTCCGGTAAGCAACAAGTTGTCGCAAATCTGATTACTGGTTGGCACGTAAATAATGAAAAGCCCGGGAATTTTGTCCGAGAGGGAGGGGCTTTGCATGAATTTAAAGGTCGGCGAGCGAGAGCGCGCGTGCTCTCACATACGAATATTTCCTCGACGTTGAGATCGCTCGACGGATGGATGAATCTCGGAACGATCGTCCGTCGCGAGGCCGGGCTCTTTCGGAAAAAGTCTCTCGTGGCGCGATGTGAACAATGTCGAAGCACCGAGCGCCCCCGTGATTATTCTCGTGCGAACTCGCTTATTAATTCGAACGTTTCTGAGATCCGTATTAACTTTAGTCACGCATACTTATTTCACGGTGTCAAGATAATGATTTTGGGTTAATTCAAGCTAAACTTATTATCGTAAGAAAAAGGATGTTTCCGGGGAAGATTTTCAGATGGTTTTGCAAATGCGATTTAAGAAAAAAGAATGTTCATTCATTCCTTACAGCGAACACCTTGGTATTTTAAGAAAAAAAAAAAACAGTATGCCATGTGAAAACTAGAAAACTGAACAATGTTCAGCAATGTATTGGATCGAATTGTGCGGAAGGTTAATAGTTGTCACTTCGAATTCGTTTTATATAAGATACTCGAATTTTTATCCAAAATATGGTCGGAACTTTTCAGTTGAATCGTACGATTTATTTGATATCATATCTGTAAACTGTAAATCTGCGAATTTTATTCAACTGGAGGACTTACATGTAACTCTGAGTTCAAATCTGAGTATCTTATCTGAAATAAATAATACGATAAATAATACTGTCAATTTCTATTACCCGAATATCCTTTCGAAGTTTTTCTGTGACGGAGTGTACGACTAATTTCAGGTATATTTTCATGTTACCAAATTCTTGATTTTTCTAACGATGACAGATCTAACGATAATAATAACATCTGAAATCGGCCGTTTACTTAGTTACTGGAAGATTTGGGCATTCGAGCAGTCCAAATTGACATCATTAGAAATGAGTTTCAAGTAATGACTATTGATACGGGCCTAAGATCACTTTCAGTCATTCTCTCGTACGTTTCTCGTAAATTTCACGGGATTACGTAAGCGCGCGCACACGCTCGGACGCCGCGAAGTTTTCACATAGTACGTTTTCGGATAATTAGCCCCGGGAAATTAATAGTTACGGCTGAGGAATCTGAGACGGAACCGCGTCGCTATGTATGAAGCCCGAGCGAGCTCGAGTTCAGGACTCCAAACGCTGGTTAATGGAATCTTCCCTCGCCAGAATCTGTGTTGCGCATCGCGTGAATACGTAATAGTTGCTGCGTAATAATAACCTTAACTCGGATATAACTCCGGTTACACAATCCCGAAACTCATCGGACGGGAGGTATCAAATGTCGTTACAAGTTAATGAGCTGCGAAGCATTATCTGGCGGGCGTGTAAAAAATCTCCACTCTAGTATATCTGTCATCAAATCCGCTCTACATAACGGAAACAAATTAAACATTCATATTACCCATCGCCCATCTGACACGGTGAAAATATTTTGTATACTTCTGTTAAAATCGGTCCTCGTTAAAATTCTTGTGTTACATTTCTGACATCTGCATGTTAATTTAGCACATTATGTTTACGTTATCTCAATACTTTGCGTCGAGTTGATATTCAACATGTGCAAATGCTGAAGTATACTTCAGCGTCGATTAATATATTATATATTAACTAACTGTTAATTTTGACGTAATATTTGTGTTACTTTTCAACATATTCACCTTGTATTCGGTTAACACAAAAATGCGAATGGACACGTTTGGGACGTGTGAGACGTGTAAATTTGACAGAAAATTTTTCACCGTGAAGAGAACGAATATTACTTCGTTACGATATTATTCGTAACATCCTCGATAAATATTATTATTATTATTGCTACATATATAAATAAATTTATTATTATTAGATAAATATATTAATTTCAAGTATTAGAGGCGTATACGGTCACACACACATAAACACGCACACGTACACACCCAGCGTCCAGTATTTATTACGCGCCTCATTATTTATTATACTTAATTACTCTCATTAATTTCGTTAATTACTCCGAACTGTCACACTGCTCGGTTACTTTTGTTAATTGCCTCAAGTTGCGCGAAAGATTCTCGGGAGGGTGGGGGGATGGGGAGTCTGGCGAACTACGGGCGGATTCCCGTGTCCGTTGCGTGGACCGCGCGTAACTATGCGGGGGTTAATATTTAACGTGACGTAAGAGGGTGCGACACAATCCGGTCGGCGAGCGCGCGTAACGCACAGGCTCGAAACTCCGCGTACGTTCTGAGGAAACGGGGAAACGCGGCGGCTATCGTCGGCGATGCGCCGCCGCGACGCCGATCTCTTTTTCGCGGAGAGCTCTCGTTTTCCGAGCTTGACGTTGACCGAGCGGTCGGTCAAAGGACTTAAGCTCATTTGCGTAAAAGGAGAATGCACTCGCTTAAGTGTTTCCGGAAACAAATCGCCCCTTCCTGCGCGAATAATTTCTCCCACCCGTCTCTGTATTTACCGCGGACGCTATTTTTTCATTCGCCCTCGGCCGCATCCGCTTGCGCGAAGCTTACGGGCGTAATTTCAAAATGTAAGCTTTTCATCGTGGGTAATGGCGATGACGATACGACGGGGGGGGGGGGGNATCGGCATAATTCAGCGCGTCGCGGATGCAAATGATATATTTGTCAAACGCCCCTCTCCTACCCTTTCTCTTCCTCTCTTCTTCTGAGAGGACGTTATTATTCAGTAGCATTATTCAGCGTATGCAACGGCGTGTTTTCGAGGGCGCGTTTTGCAAGAGTGTTTTCCTCACGAACGCGACGTGGAGGAGCCCTTCGTCTGCAGGATGGGATGCGCGCTTTGTGCTTAGCACGGCCGTTTTTGTCGTGGAAACACGACGACGACGGGGGTGTACGCGCGCGTGGGAAGTTACGATCAATTTCTCGAGTCACGCGAGCACCGCGAGCGCTCCTCTCGGCCGGCCGGCTCGCGAGCGATATCGAGCTTGCTCGGAAATCGCGGGCCAGACCCTGTCGAGAGGAACGAGCGTCGCGAAAGCATCCTTCTCCTCGAGGCTGGCGATATTCGTCTTCCTCTCTCACACATGGCCCCTAGAAACCGTCGAGGGAGAGGAATCAAGTGACAAAGTCATCGGGACGAGTTCGGCGCTCGCATGATCGAGAGATCAACCCATCGAGCGTGCAGCTCTCTCTCTCTCCGTGTCGCGCTCTTTTCGACCGTTTTTTTTTTTACCTTTCCGGCGATACGTCACACCTTCGGCAGTCCCGCAGCCACTCTCCGTCTACACAACCCTTCTTCCTCGGGCCGTTCCTCCGGGCTATCTCGCGGTGGCGGGACAGACGAGAGAGAATACTGGCGAACACCTTTATCTCTCTATCTCTTTCTCTCTCACACGTACATCACACAGAGACGGCGGTCATCGTTGCGGTCGTAGAACCGTAGTTGCGAGTCGCGAGTGGCCGCGGCGCGCGCGCGAAGGGAGGTTCGCGGAGAAAGAAGCTGGCGCGAAGAAGAAGGCGCCGCCGAGGCACACGGCTGAGGCGCGGACACGGGAGGTGGGCTTCTCTGGCGGGCGTTCAGGTCGGGACCGTTCACCGGACGGGCGATCTCCGCGCGATTTGGAGGCTTCCTCTCGCCGAGGAGACGCCGACGAGAGCGTGCCGGCGACGCGCACGAATTTGGTCACGCAGCCCGGTTGTGTCGGGTCTCTCTCTCGGCTTGTCCCTCCCGCGGAGCACCGGGAGAGGAGGTTCTCACGTTTCACACGGCGCGCCGCGAGTCCCTTCACACAGCCGGACGATGCACCGACCGATGCTTTTAGCTCGAGGGTCGTCGCGGTACTGCGAGACGAGCGAACGCGAGACCCGTACGCGGCGGTCGCTCCGAAAGACAGAGAGAGAGAGAGAAAGAGCGAGAGGGCGAGATAGTGCGAGGGAGAGAGAGAGACGGAGGCTTGCCGCGCTGCCCGCGCACCTTGTGAGCGCCGACTCACCCCGTTGGTCGATTTCAAACTCGCGCTCTCTCTCGCGCGCGCAGAAACGATGCTCTCCGCCGGAGTATGTATTATTTTTTCGCGCGCTCCGACAAAAAATCGCGTTTGCTACTTCGGGGGAGGGAGGCTCGTCGACCGACCGGATCGCGGCGGTCGAGTGGTCGACAAGCGGGGAAAAATCACGCGAAATTCGGAGAATTGCGGATGAGCTGGCCGAAACGCGAACTTGGCGAATCGATCGCGTGTCGTTTTAACGCAACGACGGAATCGATGCGCGTGGGTTAACAACTCTCAGCAACGTTCGAAGTAAGTTACAGCGAGTTACAATACGAAAGGGAAACTGCCGGCCGCGAAGAAGCATGGCGAAACGTCTATTTTTACTTCCGCGCCGCCCGCGGTTTTTCCCGATGCTTAGGTCGCGGAAGAAGGCGGAGTAGTCGCAAGAAGGGGGAAGGGCGGCGGAATACTTTTCGGAAAAGCAACGCTATATTCTGTACTTATCGAGCGCGCGAGTCGAAGTTGGATACACAAATAACCGTCCGTATTGTCGGACGTATATCCGCGAATAAAGTTTGCCGAAGGAAAGCGGCGCGAAAAAAGTTCGCGCGGAAGAAACGATTGATTTGCAAACTCGCAATGTAAACGCCCTCCCGCGCTTTTCGTTATCGGACCAGATTTAAAATCATGAATTATTAAAACGTCAATGAATAAAATGCTCCCGAATCGCACGAGCATCTCGTGCCTCGACTCGGTAAGAACGAGAGAGACAGATAGATAGATGAGGGGAGAGGGAGAGAGGGAGAGAGAGAGAGAGGGAGAAGCCGTTTCATATATTGAGTTTTATTTCGTCAATTGCTTGACGATTACACACAATTTGTCTTCTTATCGAGCGTCCTCGTTTGATGTCACATATCACTGAAATATAAATCAATGTATAATTTTTTCATAATTTTGAATTGTGGGCAATACATTCTAAATGACCGCGTTAATGCCTAGTTTTCTAAGCGACGCGGAGGAGATGAGCGTTTTGTTATTATGAGACGACTGTTCTCTCTGCATCGCGCGATACAAAGAAAAGAAAGAGAAATCGTTCGACATCGTTTTCGTATCGGTATCGCGGAGCGACGTGGAAGCATCTTTCGATAATATCCAATCAATATTCGATATTCTTGATTAGAAAGAATGAAAAGATACAAAGGCGAAGTTTCTCGGGGACGACGCCCCGCGTTACGTTCGCTGCGTTCTTTTTAACCGTACGACTTTTAATTACAGACGTAATTCGCGTCGCCATCGAAAGACGGTCGTTATCGACGTCGTGACGCGACGCTTCGACGACGACGGCACGTCTGTCCGGAAGAAATACACTTTCCGAATCGTAAACGACAGATTTTCGCTCGAAAACTATTTTCGCCATTGTACACGCGCGCGCGACAGAGAGAGAGAGAGAGAAAGAGGGAACGAACGAGGGACTTATATTTCGTTTTTCCGCGCTCGTGCGCGAGATTCGCTGAGGTTGGCATTGCTGAACAAATGAATTCCGCTGCAAGCACCCACATCAAACATACGCACACACAGGTCCACCGCCTCTCTTTACACTTACAGCCGAAACACTCTACATCACACGCGCGTTTGCTCGCTCTAGTTTTAACGTGACAGTGGATTAAAGAACGTATCCATGTGCGCACGCTTGCAAATAGGCGGACATATTATTTTATCGTTCTTTGTTTCTCAAATATCAGGGGTTTGCGAAAAAGTTTATCGTCGGGTCATAGACGATTTTGTCGGCTAAAGAGTCGAGTCACTTCACGGGCGTCGAGTCGGTCAATTATTATCCGGAATGGCGGCGGAGTGTGGTGAGTAACGATGGCGAATGCCTTTAATTGAACATGACACGTACTTTTTTGTTGCTACACCGAGAAAAAGTGCTAGAATCAAGTAAACGTAATTACCTGTGTTTTTCAGCCTCTTGAGTCGAGCTATATTTTTCGCGATATTCAACGTACTTTAATAGCTTGTAATAAATATTTACTTGAACGCAGTGACCATAATTTGTAAGTGGATTATTGAATATAATGTTTAAAATGGTTCTAAATTCAAGAGTATTTGAAGAATACCAGAATTATGCAATACTACTTTCTCATTGAAGAAACCTAGTGATTTTAAATTTAAATTTTTCTGTCCGGTAAATATGTTCTAAAAATAAATTCTAGTATTCTCAGTATTATGAGTATAATACTTGTAACAATTTTTTTAAACACATAAAAGTAAATGTTATTCTTATGAAGGAATTAACATGCTGTATATAGTCAATTATATTTCTACTTCTAGTAAATATTTGCCAAGGAGTATTGGAACAACCATTTTACTCAAATCAAGTAAATATTAAGAGACACTAGTGTCTCGGACAAAATTGCTTAAACGGCAACACTTTCTTCAGCGTATCTATTAGAATTGATGAGAACGTACCTATTAGAATCTACAATTATTTCACAGACACTTTCCGTATGTGTATTATTCTTTACCTTTCCTTTCTTCTCGCTCGCATTAACTAATCAAGTTATTATTACTACTTTTAATTAAATGATCGCGCTTTAATTTAAAAAATCATCAAAGGATCCGACTACGTCCCAGAAATCTCGGATTAATATTAGAACTGTTTTTATGGAAGGCACAGATGAAATTTTTAATTGCGCGCTGAAAAGATAAAAGCAAAGTTATACATTAATCAAGCGGTTCTATTCGCACGCAACGAAGAGCGGAGGCGTCCCACAAATGGGACACCGGACCGACCTCTAATGGCTTGATAAAAGAAGCATGGCTAAAAATCCGACGAACTTCCGCGAGCCCCTAATAGCAAGGAGCGTAAGAACCGTTCGTTATTACATTCGCGGTATGTTCGAATTTCTTCGAAACACCGAGTACACGTTCCCCCCGTTCTTTTTTCGTTGGACGAACTTCTCAATTTGTCCTACTTTCACCGGGGGACCGCAGGATCCGGCCGACGTTCGTTTATCAGATGACAAGTGTCCGCGCGTATCTTCCGCGCAATTACTTTCGCGCCGACTCGCCGCGGCGTTCTTCATCAGCGAACAATAACAAGCGGCGCTCGTTCACGCGAGTTGGGGGGGGGGGGCGGCCCGGAACTTGCACGAAAAGATCGCAATTTACGTCGGGGATGCGGCGGGATGCGCCGTCGAGCCAAGGGAACGGCCGACTTATGAGAGGGGAACTAATTGTTAATTATGTCTGCCAGTAGATACACGCGACTGGTGGCGGGAGGGTTGGCGGCGGCGAGATGGGAATCTCGACACGACCTCCACCCCACTAACCCACCCACGCACGCACGCACGCATTATTACGCGCACGTACGATGTGTACAGACATACATACATACACACACACACACACACACACACACGCGTGTCGTCCTTGCTCCGTGCGAGAAGGAGAAGTGGCGAGGGTGGTGAGAGATGAGCGAGGGAAAAGCGCGAAATGGCTGGGAAGGAAAGCTCTAATTCGACAAAGCTTCGTCATTACGGCGCGTTTGTTCTTACCCCGCCACTGCTGCCGCTGCTGTTGCTCCTTGGCGGCCGAGGGAGGAAGAGAGAGAGAGAAAGAGAGATGAGGATCGATGCCGCAGGACGAGCAGCGACTCGTCGGTGAAAGACAGACAGATAGATAGAGAGAGAGAGAGAGAGAGAGAGAGAGAGAAGGCGGAAGGAAGCGTCGTTTAACGGAACACCGCCGTCGTTGCTCCGATCGTTTCCCGAGGGCCACTTAACCGAAATTATCCGACCCGTCGGGGGGATGAGAGAAATCGCCCCCCCCCCCCGCGCAAGCGTGATGTTTGATCGACGTAAAACACGTAACACTGATCTCGTGGATGTTTTATAGCCGCGACCGGGTATTTGCGAACCAATGACGAGGACTCGGGGAAGTTTCGACGTCAACGTAGCCCGACGTGATACGGCGAGTGCGGGGGTGAAATTAATATCGATCGAAGAGAGAGCGCACGAAATACGAGCGACGCTGACCGGGACGATTGAACGCGGAAGAGATCGGTGAGATTTCCTTTTTCACGCTCCGAAGTTTTTGACCTACACTGAGGAAAAAAGTACTTAGGAATTTATTTCCAGAATATAAGGGTTTATATCAGAGAAATGAGATTTATTTCTCTGAGATAAGGTTAATTTCTGCGAGATAAAGCTCCTATCTTCGGCAGATCAATTTTTAAGCGCCTCTTTCTTAGTGTCGCGTTAGAATCTCAGCGATCGATTTTTACATGACCATGATGTAAGCCGGGTTTTTTAAATGGGTGCTTAGAAATCGTACTCTTCTGTGTTGCACGTCTACACGAAAGAGAAAAATAATTTTGCTGTTACAGCGAAATCACAATCGTCGCTATTGCGTGTGCGACGGCAATAAAATCCACGTGACATAACGAAATTAACGAATTATTCGTTAATTAGAGCAGAAACGAGGTTTCGTTACGAGGACAGAGAATATTTTGCTGAGCGAATTTGTCCTCCGGACAAAATATATACATAATTTTCCTACATTTACTAATTTGTTCTTACGGCAAAATAATCCAGTTACAGACAATTCTCTTAACGAGTCGTTTCATTGTTCATATAATAACTGACAGATTTTGTTGCAACGGTATACGATTTGCGGCGCTATCAACTTATTCTTCTCCGTGTATCTCTGATTAATCTAAATTGAAGTGCGGAGAGATATTCGCGAACGACTTCGCGAAGAAATATCAAGGACATCTCTTTCCCTCTCCCCTCTTCTTTCTTCCTTCTTTCTCTCTCATCCTTTCGAGTCGAGTTGAAAGTTTAAGCGATGAAATTCTTTGTAACGACCATCGCGTCTTAATTTCGCGAGGGTCGTTAAATAAATACCGCGAGCATTGTTTAACTAATAAGTTTGTTATCGGAAAGGCATTACGTGGCGGACGTTTTGCCCGAAGGGCCTCAATTACTCAACTTCGCGAGAAAAAGATGTCGTTAAACTGTCTTGTGTATGCGGCGAAATGAAAGACGGAGGAGGGGGAGGGCGCCTCGCTACATACCGGTTAAAGACGAGCGCGAGCGGCATCGGCGTGTTTCATGCATGCTAAATTAATGGAACGAGGTCACGCTCCCGCCTAAAAATGCCTCGCTAAATAATCACCGCGACACGACAGTGTCAACAGAGAATTCCCGTTTTTATTTCGCGAAGATTAGAACGCTTTTTCTGTGCGCGCCTGCGAAAATAGATGCTGCCGCCGCGCGCTCTGCATGAGCGACAGTATCGATTATCGAATACCGCCTGAATGACACGATGGGGATATAATAACGCTGATCTACTTTAATACGACGCGCGCGTGGCTCAAACGAGCTTAGGTTAACATTAGCTGGACAATATCGCGCGCGGTTCAGCACCGCCGAGTCTCCGATGGGGGACGCGCGATTTTATTTGACGCGCGAATCTCCGAATCCCTCCCTCCCTCGGGGGGCCGTCCGTTTAATGCGAAAATACGTAGATATATCGGCCAACCCCGGGTGGATAAATGCGAGCTCCGTTCGCCGACATTCATCCCCGGGCCTTAATCGAACGGAAGCTTTATTTTCGCCGCTCCCCGGCGATGTCCATTTTCTATAAATTACTTTCGGAGTTCGTGACGGAATGGTTGCCGCCATGCCCCCCATTTACTTAAAATCTAGTCGCATAGCTTTCTGAACAATTACCCGCGAGCTCGGGAGGGAGGGAAATAAAGGACGAAGGAGGTAGATGGATAGATAGATAGATAGAGAGGGGAGGGGTGAGAGGGAAGGAAAGAGAGAAACGTGGAAGGGCGGAATCGTTGAGCGTTCCTTCTTTCTTACGGCTGAGAGCGTGGAAGAACGCTTCCACGGGGGTGGCGAGATCCGACGAAAGGACTGGCCGGCTTGAGAGCAAATAGGAAATACGATTCTCGCGAAAAATGTCTCGGTAAACACACTCGGCAGGCTCGGAAATACTCGGGGAGTTACCGCCGGACACTTCCCGCCTTCTCGACTCCGTTATTCCTCCGGCGAAGGCACGCTCGTGCGCGCTTATTGACGTGGGGCTCGGCCGCGTTTACACTCGAGGCGGCGCGCATTATTGCAGACTCGTGACTCACCGCAAGATCAGGGCGAACTCGGCGATCCGATCGCGCTGAGACGACACACGAGAGTTCCGCGACGGTCCCGTCATCAGCGTCCACGTGGTGCTCCGGAACGGAGAGACACCCCGTGTCCGTCCTCTCCGTCTATCGGCGGGTCAAGGGACGCTTTCCGCTCGCGAGATGACGCCGTATTATTCGCGTACGAAACGAAGCCGCGTGTTTTCGGCGTCCAAGCGCCGGGCTGGATTATAAATACGGACTTAAGAGCAACGATATGCACTCACGGCGATATGAAATATTCCGGTGGCCCGGCTACGTGATATTCGCAAATGCACGGCATATTCCTTTGTATCTTTGTCTACAGGTGACACGGCTAAAGTGCACTTTTCACCAAGCGGCGGCGAATGAAAAATGAGGGACAAGAGAGGAAGACGGGTGAGGTAGGGAGGGGGGGGG